AAAAAAAAAAAAAAAAAAAAAGACAATTTAAAAAATGAAGAAATTGTCTCTTTTTTTGAAACTAGAGTTCCCAAGCCAGGAAAATACTTTAATTATTGAAGAATTTTCGATACCTCGGATACGAGGTTAAGAAATAACAAAAGCTAAACAGGTGAAGCTTTGAAACTTCAATTTGATTCTTTAATGTTCTCAATATCCGAAAGTTCAAAGGTGCTGTGTGTTTTAAGAATATTATATATGCGTATATACTTTTTAAAAAAACAAACATGTAGCTCCTGCCTTCTTTAAAATGCCTCCACCCTCCGCCGAGACACAGGACGGAGACCCGAGCGGCGCCAAAGCCGCATCCACGCAGCCTCCCCGCCCGCCTGCTCACCCGCCCGCGCTCGGGGTCCGGGGTCCGGGGTCCGGGGTCCGGGTCGGTAACCTCCGGGAGGCCGAGCGGCTTCCCAGGGCGACCCCGGCGACGAGCGGCCGTCCCCCGAAACTCTCACCTCAGTTCTTCTTCGACGCTCTTGCCGGGCTGCGGTTCGGCCGAGGCTACCACAGAGGAAGTCGTAGAGGTCTTGTTCTTCAGGATCCCCTTTATGGGCCGGTGCGAAGCCGTCGAGGCCGCCATTGCCCGCCCCTCCGGCGGTAGGCTCAGTGTCGCTGCTAGCGGTCGAGGCCAGGAAGGAAAGGGATAGACGCGAGCCGAGACTCGCCAGGCAGCCGCCGAGCCCGCTTGGGGCTAAAGCGGCCGCACCTGCTGTCGCGGAGACAGCTACCGGCGTCGTTTTCACGACACAACGACCCTGACGCTTTGGCGTCCAGCAGACGCCGCGCGACTGGCGGTTCTACGCGCGACCCTGGCCACCCGCACTTTGCCCGCAGCCCGCGGAGAGAAGCCGGCCTACGGCCCCAGAGCGGGAGCGACGCCGACGCCGAAGCCAAGCGGGCCCGCCCTCTCGCGATATCTAGCGTGGGGGCGGGGCCGGGAGGGACGGGGCGGAGTCAGAACAAAGCCAACCTTCTCGCCCCGCCCCCTCCTGGCCCTCTCCGTGGGCTGGCGGTACCTTTGGCGCAGGGAGCGCAGGGGTTGCTTCGGAGAACCTTTGGAGAGGTTGCTGGCTTGCCTCTGTGCAGAGCTGTACATCTCTCCAAACACCCTCATCCCCGCCACCTTATGAGGTCCATATTGTTATTTCTGTGTATTATAGATGGGAAAACTGAGGCTCAAAGGTGACAGCATTCCTCAAAGATATTAGTTGACTTTCAGAGAAATGTCTTCTCTTTTCTTCCATTTAACTCGCATAAAAAGTTTAACTCTTCGTTATAAAGTTGTGGAATAGCAGCATTGAAAAGATCCTTAGAGGTGTATTATAAAACCATACAATACTGACTTTTATGAGATCATAGACTATCAGCATTGAAATAGTCTAGAAATAAATTTTGGAGAAATTGAAGGACACAGGGGAAATGACTTGATCACTACTGTCACACAAGCCCATTCATATGAGTGGTCACAGAACATGAGACTTCTGTCTTCTAGTCTAATGTTTCCACATTTTACCACATTCTCCCTCTGTGTTGATAATTCTGTATAAGATATTACTCGCAGAAATTCCTTATAATTGTGGTTTATAATATGTTTCCCCCAAATCCAGGGAATTCATTTAAGGTAACTATGTGTGCAATACTAGGTGAAATAGGCCAGAAGCCTTGGAAGATTTCTAGGTCTTTGTGAGAGTCTCAAAGAAGAAAAACAAAAAACAAAACCCTCATACACACACCCAAGTTTTTCTGTGTCTGGATGTAAATAAAAGATCCCAGGGAGGACTTTGATAAGAGAAAAGGAAAGAGCTCAAGGCTCTAGAGTGTCAGGATGTGTGGATGTCCGGGTTGGGGGTGGTGTGGGTGTCATCATGAGGGAAAGTGGTTCTATGGAGTATAGGGAAGGGCAGAATTTCGAAGCCCTGGGAACAATTTTAGAAAGAAGCTGTGTCTAAAGTCAAGCAAGGGCCAGCAGGGGGAGTGGTGTCCGCTCTAGCCACCTGGCCTTTCATGCAGTGTCAGGACTGGAATTGTACAGATGGTAAAAGAGGAGGTCTCAGCCATTAAGCAAGTTGCCTCCTGTTATGTGTTGAATTGTGTCCCCCTAAAATTAAGCTATGTTGAAGTCCTAACTCCCAACACCTCAGAATGTAACCTTATTTGGAAATAGGGTAGTTGCAAATCAAATGAGTTTAAATTAATATGAGGTCATACTGGAGTAGGGTGGGCCCCTGATCCAATATGACTAGTGTCCCTATAAGAAGATGGACATGTGGAGACAGATGGAGAGGACTCCATGTAATGACAGAGGACTGGAGGAATGCATCTACAGGCCAAGGAATGCCTGGGCTACCCAAGGCTGGGAATGGCATGAAACAGATTCTCCTTTAGGACTCTCATAAGGAACCAGTTCTGCTAATACCTTAATTTTGACTGTGAGACATTAAATTTCCATTGTTTAAAGCCACCCAGTTTGTTGTATTTTGTTATGGTAGCCCTATACACCTCCTCTCCTTCTACTCCTACCCCCAGTCCCCAACTTCCTCATCACCAGGCTTTTTCCCACCACTCTTTCCTGATCAGGCCAAGCAGAGCAGACTAGTCCACCCAGAACTGACCCCTCAGCAGACCAGCCCCCTGCGAACTCACAAACTACTAGGTCTGGAAAGGGCCTTGTCAGTCCCACCAGGTAGCTATCCAGTCCCTTCTCCAACAACCCCAGTGGCCAGGAGCTCACCACCCCACAACACAGCTCATTTTATCTTTGGACAGCTCTGACTAAGAAAGCTCTTCCTTAGAAGGAGCTGATACCTGGTTTCCAGCAATGTCTGGCCCCTGGTGTAGTGGGTAGGAGGAGAGAATGTGGGTGAGGAAAGGGCTATTTCTATATTACCCCAATGGCAGTGATCTCACTCAAGTCTCCTATTTCTGGACCCCTAAATCTCATCTCCCTTAACACTGCATCTGTGCCTCAAGGAGCAACATTTAGTTCATTGTCTTTAGAACTCTGCTCCTCAGGAATGACTTCAGGGTTCCTGAAAACAATTGTTTTTTTTGCCTGGCCCCCAGGCTGTAGCTGAGTTCCTGGCATGGACCATGCTTCAAAAAAGGAATGAATGCTGAAAGGAGATAATAGAGGAGGAAGTGAACAGGCAGGACAGAAGAGCAACAACTTTGCCAGTCAGAGCTGCATGTTTTCCCTAGGGATTTCCCCAGGCAGAGGCCTTCACAGCTGCCCCATGACACCTCCCTCTCTTGGCCTCACCCCTGTTCCTCGCCACCGGTTTCCCACTGTTTAGTGGATCTGATATCACACTCTGACAGCCCTGTCCAGCCCTCGAGGCAGAGAGAGGGTTCTCATTGAGGGGTTAGCTGGATGGTCACCTCCCTTCCTGAATTCTTTTTACTACGGGTTCCAGCACTTCCTCTCCTGCCCTGTCAGCAGGAGCTCTGGTCAGCAGTGGTAATCCTTTTTTCAAGGGGATACAGAAAACTTCCCTTCATGTTCTAAATTATTGGGCTCATTTGCTTTGTTCCTGCTTGGGCCTGGCTGTCACCTCCCTGGACCTAACTGTGACTGGGCCCTTAATTTAGCACTGCCTTGCTATGAGACACTCTAATGAAAAGGGCTGCCACAGTATGACACTATACCACAGAATTACACTTAATAAAAAGCACTGGGACAGGAGGTGAAGAGTTCTCTGAAGAACCTTGAAAAATATTTCCCTCATTAAAAGTCATACTTTAATATGAGAATTATCTCTTCCACTCCTAACCCCACTCAAAGTGAATGTAGATAAAGAGGACTTTCTTAATGTTTCAAAAATAAAATATTAGTTTGGCTGCAAGGTTGTGAATGCCAGTACAGCTCTTTTTAATATTATGGAATCACTGAACCACTTTATTCCTCAGTGTGGCCCAAAGAAGATTGTCAAATGTCTCTAAACAGAGCTCTCCTTCGCTGCTTCTGCTGAGATCTGCTCCTGTAGGAAGTCATCTGGAATAAGCCCTGAATTTTGCTGTATTTGTTATGTTTCCTGTGTGTCTAAGAGATGGATTGTGAACAGAATTTTCCATTCTGCTTTCAGTTTTCGGAGGTAGCTGTTGAGCTCAAGGCAAACCATATATTTAAAAACACACATTTAAAGATTATCTTACAATTTTTTCTGCTCTTTTTGAAGACTTCCATCAGTTGCTTGATTCAATGCTATTTATAGGGAAGAAGAGGGGAGGCACTTTTAATGTACCCCCTTAAATGGCTGAGCCAGTTGGCTCTCTGCTCATTGGAATAGGCTACTGAGGTCAACACTACTTGATTTCTCACCGAGAACAGAATTCCAAAGCTGGAAATAGCTTCTCTGGCTGGCTCCACCCTGCCAGCCTAAATCATCCACCAGGGTTCACCAAGCAGAGACGTGATAGTGCCCACCCCCCACCTCTGGAAAAATACCCAAAGGTTGTGGCTTAATGACCACTGAGTCAGCAGCATCTCTCTCCTAACCAAGAATAGCACATTGTTGTTGTTTTTAAAAATCAGATTATCCCTCCAGGGGACAAGAAAATCAGATTTTGTAGTACATGATACAAATTCATGGTAGTAGGGGCAAGATTATTTAAGCAAAATACAGAAAGTATTTAAGAGAGAGAAAGCCAAAGACAAAGATTAATGGTGTTCTGTTTACAAAATGGCTTTGATTTGCAACTGTGACACTCTCCACTCTTTCTCTTCTCTTCAGACATATCTATCAGAAGGATTCCTTGGCCTCACCACAGAAGCCTCTAAGTTGCCAAATTCTTTTCTGAGGAGACTTCACACTTGTTGGGTACACACACATTTCATTAGTTCCTAAGTATTTCCTGACCTTTTAAAAACTAGTTAAATCAAGGGAAGCTAGAGAAGTACCTACTTTTCTCAAAGCCTATCAGACCAAAAAAAAAGGAAAGAAAAAAGAAGGCAGGATATATAGTGTAAAGAACTTGGGAATGATAAATCGTGAATGCCCATTATTTTCTTGGCTACACTACAAATTGCTCTTGTGCCTGCCAGAAATCACTCAGTTTTTTTGTGACTGTAAATTTTCCATATGTGTCAGCTGATCTGGTCTGTCCATTTTGTGAGAAACAAGCAATGCCCTTTGTTGTAATTTTATTGTGTTAATTTTGCCCTATAATAATGCATTTTATTATTCTGTGAACTTATAATGGAAAAAGGCATATAGACTTTGATTCAAAATACATGTGCTGTTAAATCCTCTATAGTCATTGTTTACAATAGGAAGACTTTTTGTTTAATACTGTGTTTATGTCCCATGTATTTGTTCTAGTTTGAAATTTCTTAAATATGTAATAATATTATTATTGGTCTAGGGACCAATCTCCATTTTCTTTACTGACTAGTCATCTTCATACTGCTCTCATATTACCAAAAAAAAAAAAAAATTGGCCATGTAATGAACCTTAATTTATAAGTTCAATTCCGCTTTGCCAGACACAGTGTTAGGCACAGGGCAAACAATTAGACCCTTCTCTTGTCTTTTGTCTTTTGCTCCAGAAACTCAGCCTTCAGCGACTACTCATTGCATAACATAAAGTCCAGACTCCTTGGCCTTCGCAATCTGGTGCCATCTGTTTTTCTAGGCTTCCTGTCTTTTCATATCCATTTCTTTTCTCCCCATGTTCTTCACACCAGTCAGACTACCCTTTTAAGGTGCTAGAGCAACCCGTGTTCTTTCATTTTCTTCATGCCTTTACTAATCTGTGTGAAATGCCACCCCTTAATCTTTCCCTGGAATTACCCCAGATCAAAGGTCGCCTCCTTCCCTACTCCACTCAGGCAGAATTAGTCTTTGGCTCCACTGAGATCCTGAGGAACTGTTTGCATTCT